TTAAGTTTTATTTTAAACAGTTTCAATCTATGACCGATATTCTCTTCTTCAACAGTTTAAGTTTTATTTTAAACAGTTTCAATCTATGACCGATATTCTCTTCTTCAACAGTTTAAGTTTTATTTTAAACAGTTTCAATCCACGACCTGTATTCTCTTCTTCAACAGTTTAGGTTTTATTTTAAACAGTTTCAATCTATGACCAATATTCTCTTCGTCAACAGTTTAGGTTTTATTTTAAACAGTTTCAATCCACGACCGATATTCTCTTCTTCAACAGTTTAAGTTTTATTTTAAACAGTTTCAATCTATGACCAATATTCTCTTCTTCAACAGTTTAGGTTTTATTTTAATGGGACATTATTTACTGCATATTTCATATCCCTACTCCATAAGTTTCAAGTCCAATATACAAACTTACATTAATTTATCTGTAATCAAACTGTTTTGTAAAATGCTCAGCAGCATATAAGAAAAAAATTTATATTTCTATTAAGCCTAGTAATAATTATTATTACATATAATATTCCACATTATAACAAACAATTACAGAGGTACTGCTTAAGTTGGAACTTTTGAAGTACTAACAACAGAGCTGCATATAACATTTGGATATCAGACAATATCCAACAAGTTTTGAGTCGGTCTGATCAAATCTTAAGTTTCATTGGATGCAATATTTGTTTATACTAATTATCTATCTAATCAGAAAAAATTATTTACCAAAGCTATTGTTAATTAAGTATGTGAGTGAGTGCTTTTTTTTTGGTACTGTCTATGCCAAAAAATAACATCTAGAGAAAGTATCAAAAAGTATCTGTGGTTAATTCTTAAGTCTTCCAAATTTCCCATTAGTGTTATTTTTTTCTCTACAGGAGTTCTGCTGGTAATCTCCCATAAATTACTTCTTTAACCACTTTATTCATGCTACGTTAATATAAATAGTTTATAACATGCTACATTTAATCATTGCCTGTGGCTAATTTCAGAGCTGTGTTTCATCGGTAAGTGTTCAGAGCAACTACTATGACATTATAAATAGTGAGAACTAAGGATGTAGTAATGTAATAAAGACAGTCAATGAGAAGAAAAATTATGGGATGGGTAGAAAAATTCTAAAACAATCATTAAATCCACTGTTTATAGGTGAAAACCCTCAAAGCTGTACAGAAATTAAACTTGGAGTTTTTTTTTTTTTGCTTTTCGTTGTGAATTACGCTAAGTAAATGTTATAACATGACAAAAATCTTGATTCCAAAATCTTTCAGAGTTAAAATTTGATGAAACAGAGTTGAAATTATTATTTTTACTTAAATGTTGATATTTGATATGTAGTTATGCACTAGATACCTGAAAGGTGTTCACAGATTGTGACAGGGGTAGTGTCATAATATTTCAAATTCGAGTACCTGATGATGACAAAACCTTGTTGAAACGTTGTACATTTGCTGTTAAACTTATATTAAAGTTTTTCTTCATTACCCATTTAAGCCGTCTCCAAGCATTATTAGTGTCATAATATATTTTCACCTCTACAATTAAAAATAATTTTTATTATTACTATTTATTCAACTTACATTTGACAGCACACTTTTCATACACAGGAAAAACAAAATATGTAAAACTGTAATTTTATCTGACCAAATTTAATAATACATTTTATGTCTGATCAAAATGATAACCTGGTCTGACAAGTTCTGCCAAGTGAAAGATATTTATTTGCAGCTCTGAAAAGTAAATTTGACAATAATTTTTAAACAAACTATTCCACTTAGACTCTTTACTATTAGTTAATAGCCATTTTTTGACAACTTAAGACACACTTATTTCAATTTTATAGGCCTAAAAAATACCTATGCAAAATCTTTCTTAAATCAACTTTAAGACATTTTTTCTGAAACCTTCTAAAATTCTGTTAAATTACAAGATTTCAATAAAGACAAAAACTAATTCAGCTAATTAGACTTTAACACCACAAAGATTATTATTTTAGACTTTAACACCACAAAGATTATGCTATTTTAGACTTTAACACCACAAAGATTATGTTATTTTAAACTTTAACACCACAAAGATTATGCTATTTTAGACTTTAACACCACAAAGATTGTTATTTTAGATTTTAACACCATAAAGATTATGTTACTTTAAAATTCAACACCACAAAGATTATTCCAATGACTACCGGCTACTAACTTTCTTAGTAGCCAATGCAAGTCTTGCTATATTTCATTCCAACAATAAAACTAGTGGATGAAATTGTTTGAAACTTCATAAATGTAGGTAGTTTAAGAAACATAAAACCTATTACTTTTAATAAATTTAGTTTTTTTGCATTATGATCTTTAATATCTTGGAAAATTACATTAGGAAATGGTATTTATAAGAAATGATTACGATATTTATATTTGTTCCAGATTTGAAGTTATTACTTTTTATGTTTTAGTACATTATTTTGAAATCCCAAAAAAATTGCATCCTCCATAAAATGCAAATTTTATCTATTTTTAATTTTTTTTAATAATCACGTACTCTTCTTATGGTTTCAAGTAATATACATACCCGAAAATAATATTTGTAAATAAGCCT